TAATCTCGGTTCGTAGGAATAGGTGATTCTCCCATCACCCTATTTGGGTTTCTAATCGACCTACCCCAAATCGATTAGTGGCGACTCCTTGATATAAACCACTTGCAATGTTAAAAACTTAAACCCTAAGTCGCGATATGGTATGGGCTTGGGAGAGCCCGAGTTAAGTCCCGAACCTAGACTTAGCACGTATCAGCGAGCCCCTTTTCGCATGTTCGATAAAAAAGGGGCTCGGGAGTTCGGTCGCGACAAAGCTTTTTCTAGGTTGATACTAAAACGTTTTGACACCATCTTTCTTGTCGGAGGTATGAAACGGGGTGTTGAAAATTCCAATTTTCTCGAGCTCTTTTTCGGTGATCTTTTGGGTCATTCGTTTAAACTATGATAGACGCTACATTTGGGTTTCATCCCATATAAATAAAGTTCTCTTGAAAAAAAAGATTAAATGATCGATTTTTTACTTTGTGATTTTGTGTGGGCTTAGATTATCGGGGCTTTTGTCTATCTGCAGCCTGTGTATTGTTAATTTGCTGCTAGGGGTTGGTATGAAAAAGAAAAACAAGCTCGGTCATTAAGTTCTTATGTTGTATCGACGTATGGAATTATCCCGGAAAGAATTTTCATATCTGTGGTTGAAATTTGCTTCCCGAAACGAATATGCCACGTTCTTGAGAAGTTCAAATCTGTTATGGGTCGGTGGGGATTCGGTTTGTTATTTTCTTTATTTATTTATTGGGACACGTCCATATAAAAAGCGAAAAGAAACGCCTCGAAGATAAATTTCTTTTGCCCCCTAGGGTTCTCTCTCTTGTGGTACGTCTGCATGGCGTGGGTCTGAAGCACAGAACCAGCAGGAGAGATGGCGACGTTCGAGTTCGACCGAGAAACCATGGATCTGATAGCGGAGGCCAAGCGGTTCGTGGAGAACTACTACAGGACGTTCGACGCGAACCGGGCGGACTTGGTGAACCTGTACCAGGAAGAGTCGGTGATGACCTTCGACGGCCGGGAGATCCAGGGCAAGGAGGGTATCCTCGCCAAACTCAACTCCCTTCCCTTCCCTTCCAGCAGTGCCAGCACCACATCGGCACCATCGACTGCCTGCCCGACGGCCTCAACGGCGACGTGTTCATCCTCGTCATCGGCAAGATCCGGCTAGACGGCGAGCAGGACGCCCTCGATTTCTCCCAGGCATCTCTCTCTCTCTCGGTTGAAGGATCCATTTGTATATTATTTAATTCCTTTTGAGTGTCGAAGGATGGTTTGGATGAGATGGCATTTAGTTGATTGAATATCTGATCCCTTCGTTCATTGTTAGCTGAGTATCTATTTATAAGATTCATAGCGAACCGAATTGTTGCTGCTCCGGTGAAGTTTCAAGAAAAGGCTAACGCCCAAAGAAATTTGCCTTTTTAAGTTAATATTTCTTCTCTATCAAATCGGACTCCTCGTCCTCAATCAATCAATCTGTCAATCTCTCTCCCTCCCTCCAAATTTCTAATGTCATCTTCTTGGAGAAATTCTATGCAGATGCCCTCACTTGTAAACTTGCTCCGATGATGATGTTTCTGATGCAGGATAATATGCCTTGCTAGGAGTCACGTTTTTCACATTGTTTTGCTTGATGCATATTTTGATGATACGAGTCAGTGTAGTCTGTAGTCTAGTTATTTCTTCTACTTCTTCGCCCCACCCTTTGATGGCCTTAACACTCTGCTGTGATTCTGCCCTCAGATGTTCCGTTTGATCCCAACACCCCAAGGAAGCTTCAATGTATCCCAGGACCTTTTACGGATGAACTTTGAATGGAGGAGACAGGATGGACATCTTGGATTCAACAGCTGTGGGACCGCCTCCGGACGTTTCCAATACGTACCCTAATTTTCTTTTCTTTAGGCCTTACTTATTGGCAGGGAGTTTTAGTCTGTGTTGAAGTTGTCTTTGTCTGGACTTGTTGGATTTGAAACGGATTTCTATATGGTTTGGTACGATAGAATCTAAGTGGACTTCTTGTTTGAATTGGGTCGCCCATGTCATATAGTCTTTAGGAAACAGAGAAATGGAAAGCTTTTACGTTTCGATTCTCTCTGGATTGTCCTTCCGAGCGTGGATCCGAGTGTTTGCGGGGAAATGAATCGGACCTTCGCTGAAACCTTGCATCACGATCTCGAGCAAGTGACACTCGTTGCCATGGATATTCGTGATGTCGACAGCTCCTTGACAACCAAAGTCCTGAGGGACACCCTCAAATCAGCTGCATACTCAGCTATGTTCGAGTGTCGTGAAGGGTTTGGCAACCACCCTCTCACACTGGACTCAATGGTCTTCCCTGACCGTGTCACTGCAATTGCAAATAAGTGAAATTAGCATTGAGAGAGAAGATCAAAGTAGCGTTATTATGACCAGACTTGATGTTTGCAGCGTTAAGAGACTCGTCGAAGGGCAAATCCAGAACAAAACAAGAGAGAAAACAAAGAAAAAACTAGTGGCCAAAGCATGTGAAGAACCTTTTTCTTTACTTGGTATGTCTTGATTGGTTGGGACAAAAAGGGCATCCTGGAACAGGGCCAGTAAGGTTCCTGGACTTCTCCTTTGGCCAAGAAAAGACAATTTACCTGCGATTATTGAGAGGGAAAACATCGCAGCTCTCCAAGGACATCCAGGAATCTTTGTAAACTGGGATCAAACGAAGACAAAAACAAAACGAAAACGAAAAAGCTAGGAAGAAGGACAAGAAAACAAAGCATAACAATTGCTTTAATTCAAGCACAATCTAACTCTTCATCGCTAAAATCATCAAGAAGCGTTATGTTTAGCCTGACTGATATTTGTCCGTACACCACCATAAATAAAGAAGGGTTAATACCACGAAAAACCACAAACTGGTACACATGTGACAATTTTACCCCGAACTAATTTTTTGATCACCAAAAACTCCAAACTGGTACACCTATGACAAATTTACCCCGAACTAATTTTTTGACTACCAAAAACCCCACACTGGTATACTTATGACAATTTTACTCCGGACTAATTTTGTGACCACCAAAAACTCCAAACTGGTACACCTGTAACAATTTTCCCCTAAACTAATTTTTTGACAACTAAAAATCCCAAACTGGTACATTTGTAACAAATTTACCCTCCGTTAGTGTCCGTTAAATTGGATTAATATCACGAAAAATCACAAATTGGTAAATTAGTGACAAACAGAGGGGTAAAACCCCAAACTGGTACATCTGTCAACTACCACGTGTCATCAAACTTAATAATTTGATAGTAAAATCTAACGGAAACTAATAGATGGTAAATTTGTCACAAGTGTACCAGTTTGAGGTTTTTGGTGGTCAAAAAATTAGTTCGGGGTAAAATTATCATAGGTGTACCAGTTTGGGGTTTTTGATGGTCAAAAAATTAGCTCGGTATAAAATTGTTATAGGTGTATCGGTTTGGGGTTTTTTGTAGTCAAAAAAATAGTTTCGGGTAAATTTGTCACAAGTATATGAGTTTGGAGTTTTTCATGGTATTAACTCTAAAAGAAAGGGTCCTCTTTTTTGGCCTTCTTTTTCCAGAAACTAATCTTGACCAATAACCCCCAACAAGAGACCACGCAAATTTTTCAGGCATTTCCATCTTGCAGAAGTAATAGCACAACCACGAAGAAGAATGAAGAAATGAAATCTAAACCGTGTTGCATTTGCTTTTTCCAGCAATTCACACTTGCAAAGACGTAATAACAAACGGTGCAAGTTCAGCCACGCAAAACCCAGTAAGGAAAAGATAAAACTTTAAAACATAGAGAGATTAATCTGGGTTGATAGACTGATCAGGATCGACCTCCTCGCTGACAAGCTGAAGCATGATGCCCTGACCGATCCCATTCATGAAAGACTCCAATGAGTCCTCAATTTTGTCGACCAGCTTCTGCCTGATCTTCTTCCTTGTTGAAATCACTACTCTCACGTCAATCTTCCCTGAAGAAGACGAAGAAGAAGATGATGACAATGACAATGAAGATGATAGCAATGACCCATTCAAGTTCTTCCCATCCAATGGCTTCTTGGCCTCCAGAGTCTTGTTGTCTCGGCCGCTAACCACTGCCCTCACCCACCCACCCACCACTCCCGTTGACCTTTAACCACCGACCCACCACCGCCCTCGACCGCCTCCTGGCGATCCCGCCACCAGAGGAAGCCGGAAGACCGGGCCAGAAACTTCTGACTTGAAGGGGGAAAGTGGTTTGACAGCAAACATTTGCTGTTTTCTCCAGCTTTCGTTTTGCAGAGTGAATTCCACAGGGAAGAGTCAAGACTGTACTTATAGAACTTCTTTTGAGCGTTGAGCTATGACTTGTTCTTTACAGAGTGAGGAAGAGTGAGGAGGATTGATGAGTGTGATCTGATCTGACGGAGATTCAGGAACACGACTCGTGATCCGCATGGAACATGAACTTGAGCAGTGTCATGTACCGATAAAGACATACACGTGCGGATTAATGCATGTTGAGGTGCTTATTACAAGGATTAAGTTAAACTAAACTTAAGCCAAAGCGTGACTTTCGAGGGGAGAAGCGGGCAGTCGATCATTGTAAGTATGGACAGTTCGAATAGCATTTGTTTATGAAGGTACTTCAGGCCCTTATTTAGAATTTTTCTCTTAAAATAATAAGTTAATGAAAAATGTTTGTCATTATCGATAATAATTTATGTCTAAATATATTCGTAAAAGATGAAAAAAATTCCGTTCATCACGTTTGAAACAGATACAAGCGATCATTTTTGGAAAAATGCTTTCCAGAACGTTTATTTTCCGCGAAACAAACGGACTCTTATTTTTGTTCGAAAACACCTTTTAAAAATGTAAAACGAAATTGAAACCCAAATCAGCCCAGAAAAGTTGGTTGGGTTTGGGCTTAATTAACTCAAAACTAGGTATATGCATGGAGCAGAGGTGATACAAGCATGCACGTGATTCTCATACTTTGTCCTGAACTGAACAATTTCCACCGTGAGAACACAGAAGCGAAATCACAACGGAAGCTTTCGTGTAGGAACTTGCTCATATAGCTATTGCTATTGCAATGTCTAGGAACTTCTGTGATGATGCAGAGAAAAGAGCGGAAATGGAGCTTATTAGTTTGCCATCCTCAAGGAAAATCTCTTTCTCGATCGCTAAATAAACCGAAAGGTTTTACAAGGATGACTAGAGAAATAATGTAATCAAGATCAGGCGATCTTCTTCAGCTTCCAATACATATACACTGCGAATAGAGCCCTCGAAGCCCGACGAGTCACGCCCCCCGTTCGCTCTTGCAGAAAATGGCTTCCCTCGTCACGAGCTTGATTCCCCTCACCCACAACGGAGCCATTTCGTTGCCTCCCTCGCACACAAAGTGGATTTCCTTGTTCTTGGTCGTCACGACGTGGACCGTCCCCGGCTCATCTGTGTCGAACTTCCGCCTCCGGTTCCAGCGGAAAGACGAACTAGGCCCCACCTCGGCCCGCTTGCATATCACGTTCCTCTTGCTCGACTTGCCCCAGCGCAGAACTGCAGCGTCCCCGACCATCCTCAATGATTTAACGTGCGGAGTTCCTCTGCCGCATTCCGTGTGCTTCTTAACAGGGGCGCCCTCCGACACATGCTTCCTAGCAAGCTCATCTAAGATCACTCGCTCTACGTCACTTCCGATACCGTTTAGTCTTGAAAGTGAGAGTCCAGTTTCGTGTCTCGCATTCTCCAAGCTGCACCTCGCTCCATGCGAGATTAGGAGCTCGCACAGAGCGCCGTGACCTCCCTTTGCAGCTAACATCAGTGGGGTGTATCCATCTGCATCAGGGGCATTCACATCGTGACCTTTGCTCATTAGGACACGAACCAGATCAATCAGTCCATCCCATGTCGCGTGATGTAGACTATTAACGCCAGCAGAGTTATTGAGCCGTTTTTGAAGCTCGTACTCTTGCGTAATTGCTTCGAATTTTTCACCATTTTGAGTCAACTCCGATATGTTTCTTACCGTATCACCTTGCTTGTTTTTCATTTTTGCATTGGCCCCGGCAAAGACAAGCACCCTGAGAGCCTCCATGTGACCATTTGCTGCGGCCCTCACGGCAGGTGTATATCCGTAGGCATCCTGCCCATCGAGATTAATGCCTGCATGCTCAACAAGCTTTTTCAAAGCTTCAACTTCATTCACTTGAGTTACAAACATCAAAGGACAAAACATCTTGGCATTGCTTGATTGAGGAACTTTCCCGGCTCGAATGACATCCACAACCGCTTGCTGGAAGCCAAGAGTCCATTGAACTGATTCTGCGATTGATTCTGCCGACTGACCAGCTGAACTAACCAATGCTATGTCTACGCCAGCTGAAGCCAAAACCTTCACACAGTCCTCATTCCGGCGTCTTGCAACAATCATTAACGCGGTCTCTCCACATTCTGTCCGCGAATTCAGATTGCAGTCAGCAGAGATCAAGCATTGAAAAACTTTCGGATACCCGAGGCGCGCTGCAGAATAAATGGGTCGTATTCCAGTTTTAGGAGTGGTTTCCAAGGGTCATTCTGGATCCACACCACACTTCAGCAGCACATCTAATGCTTTGCTGTTGTTGCATAGGATTGCATGGTGGACAAGAGTTCTTCCATGATGAGAAGAAGAGGGGAGCCGTTGGAGGAGCAAGCGCAAGATGGCACCACTGCATTCAAAGTACTCCACAGCGCGCCAGGTGACGTAATATGGCTCAGCTAGGCCTGCACCCACTCTAAATTCTTCTCCTGTATTTACATCCCAGGACCAATCCCCCAGCTTCACCTCAATGTCTACTCTAACGTCTGCCTCCATTGCAAACCCGGAAAGGTCACAATCTGCAGGTAATAGACAACTAGTTCACCATGCTACCCCATTTATTTTTTGCTGGTACCACAAGAGAAAGCTCAGTCCTACTATTGTAGCCATAACAACCTTACCTGTGGCAGCCTTCAGACCACCGAAACCTGCCTACTGATGATGGCGGCAATGAGTGGCTTGCAATCCACATTAATGTGGAGAGATGGCTTAGAGGATTGAAGCAATGTCCTATCAGTTCCATTGACATCCACACCGCACTGCAGTCAGCAATATTGCAATCTCAGATGGCATCTCATATTTCTCAAATAGAACGAGATTGGTGTCTTTCATTTGGAAGAAAAGGGTAATTCGCTCAAAGAGACAGAGACAAGTTGCAGTAGCACAAGCAAACTTTCCCTGGTATGGATAGCTAGGCTATTGCACTCAGTTCTTGGCTATCAAAGTTGAAAACTTATTCATTTTACTCGCAACTTTGAAACCGGCAATATACATCTCAGGTAATGTTGAGCCAAATAATGAACCAAATGACGGATGAAGACTTGATTTCACAAAATTCAATTCTGCTTTAAGCCTTAATTGGGGTTAATGTTTCCTGATTCTGCTTGTAAATCTCTGTAATTACTAGAGTCCACAGAAGATGAAAAGGACTTGTTCTCGTGACTGATCAGTCGTACCTTGATGAGTGCATCAACAACCGCAACGAACCCTCTGCAGCACGCAAGGACAAGAGCATGAACAGCAACATGTGGACGGATCATTTGGGATCCCATGGGCATTTCGGAAATCCTTGGCTGCCCCGCGTAGCTTGCCTCCACTAAGGCCTCCTCACATGCATCACGAGATGCCCCTGCGGTCATAAGAACTTCGGCAACCTTAATATGACCCTCTCGTACGGGGGCTGTTGTGGCATAGCCCCTGAACAGTTTCTGGTTGACGTCAGCTCCCATGCTCTGCCACATGAATATGTGCAAATCAAGTTAATTTGATACGGAAGATCGATAATTCTCTTGTCCTAGTGAAATTTTCTCCTTTGTTGGTCAGGAGAGCCAATAGGAAGTGTAAGGGAGCCTGGAGCAGGAAAATCCTGCAGCACTCTGCAGCCACGAATCTAGTATAATCAAACCGCTGGAAAATTCCCTCTCATCCAGACAGAATTTAATACAACGCCAAGGCTCAGAGTATGTCTACCCAAATTGAATGCGGTCATTCCATGTTCATTGATGATGTGCGCCAAGTTAATCAAATAGGGACAGCTGCCGTCCTTGTTGACGACACGTTCATATAGGTGCACCGAGGGTGTTTGGCAAAAGAGTCACACACGAGAGAATCGTTGTCGTCTGAAACAATTAATATATACATAATCAACTCATTACTTATAAGCTTAAACTTTCGACTGCAATAAGACTAACTGCAAATATCTAAATAGGGTTAGAACCTTTTTCTAATGTCGGAGACTTGAAACCTTTCAATTCAAAACATATCTATATGAACACATATATTGATGTATAATTTTTTGCATAACAAGCAAAGGTGAACACCCAACAAAAAGTTGGATTTTCCAGCGATGGTGAAAGAGACACAAAAGTGTAACTACATGAGTAATTAATCTCACATGACAATTCTCATTACTTAGGGAATGACGCAGCCTAAAATTACCGGGCGCAATACAAATAGGACAATGCCCTGGACTTCACCAGATGGTCCAGATGTATCCCAAAAATTTGCTTTGTACCCAGTGTATATGGGCTTATGACTTGGAATAAATGGGCCGGGCTTGGCCCAAATCCCAATATAGCACCTTAAAGTATCTAACTGAATCACGCTGTCATATTCTCAAGTCGTGAGGTATTTTTTTTCTCTGTTTTCGATTATGTTTTCAATATTTTCAAATCGTGATTATCATTTGTTTCCATCTAACATGAATTGTTTGGACCTTGCTGATTAGATAAAGAAATCACATGCCCTCCACCCTATCTGACACACGCATTGTGAAGAAAATTGTGTGAAAAAGCCATTAGAACACATCTTCCGTTTTTTTATCTTTTTAAAAAATGGGCGATTGGGCAAAATTTCAGGATAATGTAAGTCATTGCTCTGGCATCTTTTTTGAGTAATCTGTTTTTTGATTGTAAATAACTTTTTGTGGGTATCTAAATTTGATAATTTATGACTTTTCGTTTGTTGCCCAATTCACTCGATTATTTTATCAACAGAAAGCTTACAATCCAATATTTTTGAAATGGGATTCGATTTTTGTGACGCCGTGTGACCTCACCTCCCACTATTTCGAGACGGTCGACGCTTCGAGAAAAAATCACAAAATTCAACCTCGTAGATGGTGGCATTGCCACGAATAATTTGAGACCAAAATCGATATTTTTGAATATCGTTGACCGAGGAAGTAAGGTGATGGTTGGCCACAACCTTCTCATGGCAATCGAAACTCTTAGGACCGTTATAGTTACGGCCGCCGTTCATCGAGGCTTCGGTCACTAGCTCCCCTGTCATCAGGTCACCAACTTAGCATGATATTGGGGAATCTCATTGCTATTACTCAAACAAGCATCTTCGTGCCGAAAAATTAGAATTACTTTTGATTTCTTTTCTCACCCTTGAATGTTCTAGTTTTCTGCTTGAATCATTGATGTCTCTAGGTCAAAATTTCATTCCTGTTCTGAGCATTGATGGACGATGGATTATAATCCGTGCAGTTATTCTTAGTTTCTTGGACTCCAAACTTCAAATAAGTCAAGCAACTTTCTACGTAAACAATCTCTCTTTTTCATGGACTTCTATGTTTAGATTCAAGGACGTTAAAGATTTGATTACATTTGATCCCTACTTGTGTAAAAACTAAATGGTCCAAACGCAAGAATCACGACTACTTCTACACAGTTGCCAAAATGGACATAGGCAGTCTGATGACAGCAATACTTGCTTCACTTGCCCGAATGAAAAAAAAAACGCCTTTTATTCACTGCGAAAGTGATTAAGGAGTTTTATCCTAAAGAAAGCCCAAGATTTTCACTTCTAATTGATAAGATCCATTAATTCCCACGTTATGTCGAATCACGCTATCAGTTCCTCAAGCCATGAGGTCTTCTTTTTTCCTTTTCAATTATGAATTCAATATTTTCAAGTCATGATTATCATCTATTTCCATCTGACATTAATTGTTTGAACCTTGAGAGTTAGGTAAAGAAGTCACCTAGTGGAGATGCCCTCCCTCCCATTCGACACATGCATTGTAAACAAAATTGTGTGAAAAAGTCATTACAACACCTTTTTCATTTATGCTCTTTTTGGGATAGCGTAACTCAATGCTCTGGCATTTTTTCAAATTATCTATTTTTTTATTCTGAATAACTTTTTGTGGGATTCAAAATTTGATAATTGATGACTTTTCTTTGGTTGCCCAATTCATTCGATTATTTTATCAACGAAAAGCTCACCCAATTCACTCGATTATTCTATCAATGAAAGCTCACGATCCAATAATTTTAAATGAGATTTGATTTTTGTGATGCCGAGTGACTTCCCCTCCCACTATTTTGAGACTATCGACCCTTCGGAAAAATTGTGGAATTCAACCTCGTAGATGGTGGCATTGCTGTGAATAATCCGATTGTATTTCTTGGATTTAATACGGTGCTCCTGGCTCTTAAGGTTTATTCCTCAAGATTGACTATTGTGTTTGCTTAAAATTTTGACCGCAATAAGAGAAATAGTGAGGGAAGAGACGAAAGAGACTAGCGATTTGGCAGAAGCGAGACAGTACTAGTTTCTCCTATTATCGATCATAACAGGGACCAAAATTGATGGCAGCCACAGCGTGCGCAAAATCGCAAAGTGAAGCTTATCGATTGAATCCACAAAAGAGTTGCTCCGATTGTGAGTATTGTTGACGGAGAAAGCAAGGGCATGGTGAACCTCGTGCCAAAAAATTAGAATTACCGTTGCTCTCTTGCGTGTTTGTTTTCTCATCCACGAATGTGATAGTTTTCGGCGTCAATCAATGAAAGGAGACAAGCTCATCGATCATAATTTCATTCCCATTGTGAGCTCTGTTCGCCGACTAGCGTCACCGTCTCCAAGCAGGTAATTTGTTGAGCTGTTAGGGTTTGTTATTGCACAATACGCTCATTCTGAAAGAGAAATTGGACTTTTGCTTGCGGTGTAGTTTGTGACCCACGACTCCGGCAAAGCCAAAACCCTAGAGAAATTGTTCAAGCAGGAGATCAGGAAAGCGGAACAAGATGGAGCCTGAACCCCTACCGCTGACGGTGCCCTTCATCCACCAGTTTCTCAATGCTTTTGACGCGAATATCAAAGTGTGGTTGGGTTATATGGCGACCAATCTGTGGTTAGTTTTCAGGGTCGAGGAGTGTAGGGTCGGCATCAGATCGCTGCCCTCTTCGGTACGGTTGTGCCAACGTAGCACCGTATTACTGGAGTGGACTGGCAGGAATCACGGTGTGGTGCTTTCATTGCATTCTACAACGGCGAAATACAATATGTGGGCTCCCATCCATCCTATTACTTTACAGAGGTATGTGCCAGTGCCAATCTTGTGACACGTTTATCCCTCTCCATTTGCCTAATGGTTCATCTACCCTCAGATTTTCTAGGTGAAGCGAACACCCGAAGGTGGATGGAACATCAAGCTTCAGATCTTCCGGATGGCCCCGCTAATTGCGGATAGCATTGTATTTGTCTCGAGAGTAAGAATCGACTAGAGAAAGGTTCCCGCTGTCCATTCTCTTCTTTTAGAATCGACTAGAGAAAGGTTCCCCGCTGTCCATTCTCTTCTTTTAGCTTTGATACTTTATCTCCGTGTTTTTAGTCTGTGGACTTGTTGGGTTTTCCATATGGTTTGATAAGATTGAACTGTTTAGGTTCGAATTGATTTGCCTGATATTTCTTATGAAATTTCATTTCGGTGCTTGATTTGGAAATAAAAAGAGAGAACTTGCTGCGGACAAACAAAGTAAAAGAGGACCTTTGTCTCCGTGTTTTTAGTCTGTGTGATTTGTTGGGTTTTCCATATGATTTGACGACCCCCGATGCTAGATATATGCTTAATGCATATGATGTCAAAGAGGGGTTTTTTTAACAATGACCACTAAGAACGAATGACCAATGACGGTGAAGGAAAAGAAGGAGTAGGAGTAGGAGCTAATTTGGACGGAATCGAATGATTTCGAGATCGAGAATGATAGGGTTCTAGAAGACTACCAAACCCATATTGTAAGAATGCCTCAAATACCAATCTCCAAATAAACAAGATAACAAACGGATGCTAGGGTTACGGATCGATTGATCTAGCGTTCCCTCACTTGTGCGGCCTTAGGAATTTATCCCCAAGTCAGCTTTCCTACGATCACTCACAAGAACTTTAGAAAGAGAAATTTTGGAGAGAGAAGCTCTGAAAGTGTATTGCTTTTTGAGTAAATGAGGGGGAGGAGACCCCATTATATACAAGTACAGGATTGACCGTATCCGTAGATCTCTCATTGATCTAACGGTGGAGATCGTACTCCCCCAACTACCCCACCTATCGTATTTATTACATGAGGGTACAATTACCATATCGTCCACCCCTAGAAGTATTCTAGAACACATCAAGAAAATACTAGTACTTAGAACACTCGGGGCCTGCCTTCTCGTTCATGGGTCAGTCACGGTCCATCGTTCAGAAAACCTCAAGAACGATCCAATTCTTCGGGCCGTGACATTCTCCCCCACCTATTCGGGCAATGCCCTCGTCACGTCTTCAGCATGGAAAGCATCGATATGTTTCTTGAATTACCAAAGATCTTCTTCAGGCTCCCAACTTGTTTCACTCTCCGATGCTTTAGGATTATAATGGGAAAATGTATCTAGTTTGAAATACAGTACTAGGAAGACGTTCCGCCATGGAATGTGATCTTTCTTGTTGATTGGAAGCACACTATGTATTTTCATTTTAGCCGAAAATTACTGACGTGGCGGCC